TGCAGAATAGTAAATACATTTAATAAATGTTTAAAATATAATAAGAAAAAGTTTAAGAGTAATATTGTAGAACTCCTTCAGTACACAAAGAAGGAAAGAAAAAAGGGAGGGGGAATAGAATACTCTGTCTATTTTTTTGTTGTTGTTAGAGTTTATTCCCAGATTAAACCCTTTTATGAAAAATATTAATTGTATATATTTTCCTTTTCCACTCCTTGTATTACCATAGGAGTTAAAATGGAAAGATTTATGATGCAGTTAGATATAAGTGAGTGAGGAACATGAATCCACAAGCACAAAACTGACTGAGTGGTCTGTTTTATTTGAAAATATTTGGTTTTGTTTTGAACTAAAAAGAGAGAGCGACACACACACAAAACTGAGACACTCATGTCATACCACAATTGCCACTTGCCAAATATTCAAGAACATCTGTAACTTTTGTCTTCAGAAGGCCATAAGGACTGTTGTGTAAACGTCAATGTAATTGTGGTGAAAATGTAAGTGCGATAACTGAAGGCAGTTTTTTCCAATTTTTAAAGCAACAGGGCAAGTTTTTTTCTCCCCCCAGGGTGACAAACCCTGCTCATTTTTAACAACCCAGTCAACTTGAGGAGGAACAACTTGTAAGTGAAGTGAGCAGAATTTAGCGGAGAGTATACAGCAGTCAGTGCTTTAATCACCTCAAAAGCTCTAGATGAATCTCTGACTGAAAGTGATGATGTGTGAACTTTTCTTGCTAACAGAATGAAAACCTAGCAGACATCTTCAGATATGTAATTAGAGATATTTTTATATAGATCCTGTATTCAATGTGTGTTTATAAAAGTTAACTTTAGAATGTATGGAGTAACAATTTAATTTTTGTGGAGACTCAATTTGGAAATACCCTGCAAAGATTTAATAGAAAGACAGCCATTTACATGACATAAGAAGAGAAAAATGAGTTGTGTCACAAAGTCTGTGATTATTTTTTTTTTACTAACTTTGTTTCTTATGGAAATCAGTTACTATAGAAAGATTCCATTTCCCATATCTGATTGGCTCTGCATTTGGATGCACCCAATATAGCTAGAGAAACATTACTTTGTAGATGTATTTTCAATAAAAATAGTTTTACGGAATTCTGGTATTGTGTGATTTCTTTCAAATCCTCTTTAAAGAGAAATCTTCAAATACAATCCAAGTATTTGAACTCAGAGGGTTTTAGGAAATCCTGTACTTTCTACTCAGCAGGATCTAATTAATACATGATTACTTCTCTATAATTCAAATTCCCATTTCTTAAAGTCTCCCATGACGAAAATGTTTAACTTCCATAGATAGAAGGATGCAAAAGGAGATTAAAGGAAGAAAAATGTGACAGAGGAAAAAGTTATATAAAAAAAAGAGAAAAATATTAATGTAAGTTAAGTTTATTTTAGTGCAAATAGATGTGTAGCTCCTTGAACATACAATATAAAGAGCTTTCATATGACTTGTAAATTACATAGGTCAATGCTGAGATATTATTTATAAAATGTAATTCTATCACCACAGCCCACAGATTTAATCAGCATATCATCACAACTGAGCAAACAAAAGCAAAATTTGAAAAATAAAGTATGATGTAACAGCTAGAACTCCGTTTAGCCTTACAATCCTATAAAATTCCAACACAATTAAATGGTTTCATTACATTAACAGTGATGGGTAAATTAGCTTTTTTTCCCAAAACAATTCTATTATCTAATAATTAAGTTTTGTTTTCATGCCCTAAAATATTTCTTTTGGTGGATCACTGTAGGATTTTTCTAGATGAATTGCCACATGTTTTATCATTAGAACTATAAAGAAACATGTTCCATACACAAGTCAAGTTAATTAGATTACCTCTAATTTTCAGATTTTGAAGACATTTTCTTAATGGGAGAATTCATCACAGTCAAGGAGCTTCCATTATCCAGTTTTGTAACTTGTCACTGTTCAGAGTAGAATGGAAACTCTCTAACTTCTTATATATTGATTGAAATATGACCAGATGCCATGTTTAGGCTACTTATTTGCAGAGCTGTAAAATGGGCTTATTTGCAGAGCTGTAAAATGGATTTGAAATTTTAATTAAAATTTTAATTTCTGGGTGTGCTTCTGGGGGAAGACAATTTCAGTGAAAAGTAACATGGTATCTGATGGTATTAACTGTACACTATCTATTAGACAAGACTATAGACCAATAGCCTCACATGCTTTTAACAGTCACATGGTGACCTCTTGCATGTGAACTTGAAAAACTGTTTCAGACATTTCAAACACTGATGCCTAGTTTATAGTGGTAATAAATGCGGTGGCTTGGATCACCTCCTGTGTCCACTGGGTACAGAGGAGGAGGTGGGGACAATTAAGTAGCTTTCCGATTCTCCTGGTGCTCATGCGCTGGCCTCACCACAGGTTAGAGCAGCACTGAGGCTGCTCCAACTACCCCAACACAAAACCATGCCAGAGGGCAGGGGGAAACTGCACTAATTCAAACCACGTTCTACACCAGAGGTGAGCAATAATTTTTGATTTTGGAAAGTAGCCAACGGCCGCACTCTTCCATAATGTTAATGGAGGAGGTGCGGGGTCTTGGATGGAGGTTGGGATGCAAGAGGGAGTGTGGGGACTGGGAGGGATTTTGGGTGAAGGAGGCAGTTGTGACCTGGGGCACTGGACTGGAGTGCAGGAGGGGGTGCAGGGGTTTGGGTTGTGACCAAGGACAGGATGGGGTTGTGACTTAAGACAGGGATTTGGGGTGCAGAATCTGAGATGGGGGTATGGATTCAGGAGGGGCAGAGGGCTTGGGTTATAGGGGCAGGGAGCAAAAGTTTGGGGGGAGGGAAGGCTGAAGTGCCAGAGGCAGGTTCTAACTGGGACACTTACCTGGGTGAGTCCCAGCCAGCAGCCCAGCATGTTTCTCAGGCAACCTCCCTAATTGCCTTGCCCCTGCACAGGCTGCAGGAGCCATGTCATCTGTGACTAAGAGCCAGAGGGGAAGAGGGACTCGTGCTTTGCACGATGCCTGTTCTTCAGACAGGCAGCTCCCACTGGCCAGAAACTGGCCAATGAGATAGTGCAGGGGACAGGGGCAACATGTGAAGCCTTAACCTATGGAACTCCTTGCTGCAGGAGGCTGTGAAGGCTAGAACTGGAACAGAGTTTAAAGACAAGTGAGATAAAGTCATGGAGGTTGGGTCTATGGAGTGGTATTAGCCAGGGGGTAGGAGTGGTGTCCCTGCCCAAGGTTTGTGGAAGGGTGGAGAGGGATGGCACGACACAAATGGCTTGGTCACTGTCCTCGGTCCATCCCCTCCAGGGTCCCTAGGGTTGGCCGCTGTCGGCAGACAGGCTACTGGGCTAGATGGACCTTTGGGCTGACCCAGGACGGCCATTGTAAGCTCAGGGCTCAGGGTCGGGGGTCTCAGTGGACCACCTTGATTCTCTTGCACACCTGCTCCTGGGTGGCTAGGCTGGCAGCTATCCTGCCCAAGCCGGCCACTTTCCTGTGCCTAGTGCAGAGATCGTGGACGAGGTCCACGATGTCCGCACTAGACCAGGTGGGTGCCCGCCTCTTGTGGTCCCGGGCAAGCTCCCGGGAGCCGCCAGCCTGGTCCCGGGAAGAGGGGAAGGGCTGGGGGGCATCGGGTGGGTGGCTCGATCTGTGCCAGGTGCAGGGTCTGCTGGCTGGGTGCTGGCAGGCTTGCACCTGGCATGGGCACCGTAGCCAGCCCGTGCCCCTTTAAGGGGTCCGGGTCCGTAAGGGGGCCAGTTGAGTTTCCCTGGTGTTGGCCAGAGTGGCCACCAGGGAAACCTGGGGAGGGCTAGCCTCCCACTAGTTCGAATTAAGGGGCTACACAGCCCTTAATTCGAACTAGTTAGTTCGAACTAGGCTTAATCCTCGTGGAATGAGGATTACCTAGTTCGAACTAAGCGCTCCGCTAGTTCGAATTAAATTCGAACTAACAGAGCGCTAGTGTAGCGCCTATGAAAGTTAGTTCGAACTAACGTTTGTTAGTTCGAACTAACTTTGTAGTGTAGACATACCCGAGGACTCCCTTGAGGATTGCATGCCTGAATCCCAAAAGAATGGGGAAACAGAGTTTTTTCTACCTAACACTGTTAGGGTATGTCTAGACTACATGGCTCCATCGACGGAGCAATGTCAATTAGTTTATTCGGCATCAGCTGATCGTTGGCACAGCGCAGCGGCCATGTTTATTTTAATGAAGTGGGGATTATTTAAATCCCCGCTTCTTTGACTATGCCGAATAAACTAATTGACATGGCTCCGTCGACGGAGCCATGTAGTCTAGACACACCCTAATTGTGCCTCTCCTTTTTTGCTGAGAACTTTTTCTGTTAGTGAAGGAATCATATACACACAGATATTCTGGCTGTGGGTCGAGAGTGAGGGACACTGGAAGGGCTGTGGGTCAGGAGTGAGGGGCACTGGCAGGGCTGGGCTGGGCTAGCTGTGGGTTAGGGAGTGAGGGGCACCGGCAGCTGGTGGGGGGAGCCCATGGCTGGCCTGGCCGATGGATATAGCAGTGGTCGGGGGGGCAGGGCTGAGCTGGCTGTGGGTCAGGGTGGGGGGTGCTTGTCCATAGGGAGGGGCTGGACAGGGCAGGGAAAAGGCTGTTGTGATCCAGCAGCAAGTGAAAGGGGAGAGGGAGTTTACTTGAAGCACCTTTGCCTTTATGGAAAAAAATAATTAAAATTATATTTGTATGATGAATTAATAGCTTTATCTGACGGGGGGGCAGGGCTGAGCTGGCTGTGGGTCAGGGTGGGGGGTGCTTGTCCATAGGGAGGGGCTGGACAGGGCAGGGAAAAGGCTGTTGTGATCCAGCAGCAAGTGAAAGGGGAGAGGGAGTTTACTTGAAGCACCTTTGCCTTTATGGAAAAAAATAATTAAAATTATATTTGTATGATGAATTAATAGCTTTATCTGAGCTAATACAT